GATTTTGTCCATCCCATGCTGGGGTCCACGTGGTCACAGCAACACCGTCTGAGAAGATGCCGGTGCTGGGGTTTGGGTTGGATCCTGCCCTGCAGAACCCTCTCCAGAGCCAGGGGAGCAGCCCCTGAGGGGTGGCCCGTATTTCACACAGGAGCCTGAGATGCCTCATCCCTGTGTCACCAAGATCAAAAGTGGCAAGGCCAGAACAAGCGTCTACCTGGAACTTTTGCCTCAGCAGAACGAGGCCAGCTGGAGGGATGCTGGATGCCATGTGGCTGGAAATGCAGCTCCCAAAGACTTGAGACCCCTCACCCATGCCTGGGGACCCCTGTCCAGCCTCTTCTAGTGCTTCTTCAGCAGAAGATGAAAGAAAAAGTGACTCTCCTGACCCTGGACCAGGACCAAGTCCATGATAGACTTTCACCACCTAAAGGCTTAAAGCAGCCATAACTGGAGCAGCAGTTACCCCCAAACCGTTGACCTCCACATGTCCAAGCACACACCAGACCCCAAAATGGGGGTTTTTTGGGGTCACTTTTAAGGATCCCAGAGACGGATGCAAGTTTTATGGCTCATCTTCTCCCTTCAAGACAAGGGAACGCAGGAAGCAGCTCAGCAGCCCATCCTGGAGGGAAGGGCACAGTGCCATGTTCCCCCCCTCTGATAACACCCTGCACCCAGGGAGGACTCTTGCCCCAAGGGACTCATGGGTAGGTGCATCCTGATTTTCAAGCATCTCGGGTGCAGTCAGATGGAGGTCACCATTTCTTCACAGCCTGCATGGTACAACCCCAACCCCACAGGGGACAGCGGGACCAACCCAAGATACCCTCGAATCAGGAAGGTGGGTTCAGATAAATGCACCCAACTAGGAAAGACCTGAACCAGCCCAGAGTAACCTGCTCCCTTCTCTTTCTCCAAGGGACAGGGACCCTTAAATTTCTGTCTAGCCTTTCCCCCAACATTCAGGCTGTGCAGTGTGTTTTCTTGCCCTGCTCTTCCTGAGCCGAGACAGCTGCAGCAAAGGCAGCCCCTGCTGCTCCAGCATAATGGGCTCCGGCTGTCCGTACCCCACCTGAAACCACACACAGCCTTTGTTTCGGCTCTACTGGCAAGAGGGAACAGACACTTCCAGAACCCCCCTGAAAAGGAGAAAAGAAGCCTCCGTGACTCTTCCCTGACCAGGCTTTCACCTTAGCTCCAGGGTTTTCCAGGCTGCAGACGCTATCTCATTTCCCCCCTGCCCCCTCCCAGCCCTGGCAATTACTACTTAAGCTGTTAAAACAAGCATGGCCAGTCTGGTACGAAGTGGAAAATCTGATCCTAGGGAAGCGAGCAGGCAGGGGAAAAGGGAGGTCAAGGGGAGGTGGGATGCAAGCCAGAGAGAAAAGGATCAGGCAAGAAGTTTCCCTCCACCCCAGGAGAAAACCCCCTTCTTGGGGGCTCCCGGCCCCAGCCAGTGCCTCTGAACTTCAGCCCCAGTGACACCACAATGGTGACACTGGTGCCCTCAACTCCTTGCGGCATCTTTTCCATTTCAAAGTCACATTATGCTAGGTTGACTTTCAGCTTGTTCCATTCTGGGTAGGATGGGTGAGTACTGCCATGGCACTTGGTCCCCTCCGTCCAAGATCACCTGGACCCAAAGAGGCAATTTAAGGCTTCGACTGTACTTGCAAAACCCATCCCCACGCACCAGAGACTGCACGCAACCCCACGCAAACTGATGGGGAGCCTGGCTTCCTACAGCCACCTACAATACTAAAGGTGTTGCAGGCTACTCTGCTTTCTTAGAGCTCCGCTACCCAAAAGTCAGCAATTCTGTGAGAATCAAGCCTTTAGTAAGAGCAGTTTTAGCTTCTGTGTTTGTAGAGAAGGGCAAAAAGAACCTCAGAGCCAGGAATTGTGACTTTAAGATCCCCCAGAAAATGTAATCTGAGGTTAACATGAGTTATTTTGAGGCTGATCAGGAAGTGGCGATACACACATCCATCACAAGCAGTCCCAAATCCCCAGTTTTTGGCAAAACTACCACCTTTTCCCTTCAACCCCTTCCCAGCCCACACGAAAACTGATACAACTTCTCCACCTTTCACTTGGTAGTTCAAAACAAAAAAAAGACTTTAATTTATACAAAACAAAACCATGTATAATCAGTTGAACGACATTGACTGTACAAAGGAATAAAAAAAATAAAAGGATAGTCCAAAAAAACAACTCAGGAATGGTACAAGTGTTGGAGAGCAGCTACAGACTAGTGTTGACATCAGATGCAAGAATCTTTTCCTTTTAAATTAAAAAAAAAGTTTTTTGCTGAGCAAGTGCTCCAGGTAAATCATCCTCACTCAAGACAAGATCTGTTGAGACCTTATAGGGTGAAAAAAAAAAAATCAGCCGCAGGGAAAAAGGCGTGGGGAGGTGTCACACACGGCAAAGCCAAACCAAGCAGAGGTACATCAAGTTTTTCTAGACATGCAGCAGCTTTGTGATTTCAGGAAGGAAATCTTCATCCCTCTTCACTCCGCACACTGGTGCCCGGGAGCAGCCCAGCGAAGGGGCCCCACAGTGCCCAGATGATGTTTTCCAGGACAAGTCACTTTTGGGGTTCTGGGGCTCATCACCTGTTGGCCATATATCCCCAGGGCTGCTGAGCCAGCGATTGTCTTCTGCTGTGTGTTAAGTGATGGGAAACAGGTGCCAGCCATCCCAGACAGGTTCTCGAAATCCCCCAGCCTCTGCGCCACTGTGCTGAGCTCGGCTGCAGCTTTGCTCTTGAGCCAAACCACCACTACAAAGGATTCTTCTCCCCCCTCCATCTGCCTGGGGTTTAATTCTCTCCTCGCTCATTTGAGCTGGGCAATAAAGCACGCTAGAGACAAGCCAAGAGACCTACCCCTGTATTGTATTTTGTTCTACAGAGCGGGGAGGGGGAAGCCTCCTTCACCTCCCAGGTCGGCTCAGAAGCAAGTGGAAGGAGATGTCCGCTGTGGAGGGATGCACCCCTGCCTGCTGCCTGAACAAAGAGGGTCCGTCTGCCGCGCAGGAGCCACTGCGGCTTCATTCTGCCCATGCAATGCAACAAGCTGCTTGGGGGGGCGGCGGGGGGGGGGGGAAGAGGAAGGCCAGGGCGTGGGGAGGT